ATCAAATACTCAAGAGTAGCTACCAAACAAAGAAAACTTAAGCAATCTGTCAGGAGCAGAAACTAATGGCTTCTCCTGAAATCACACGCAACTGTAGGGATATACGCAATTGCACTCCAATCTACCAGTTTATCATTCTTGGGACCCCTAGAAAGATTCGTCAGTACCTAGTCTCTCATGGAACTCAAAACGATCTTTTCTGACATTTGTTTCCCCTGGAGTTCTTTAACTCTTTCTCTCAAGTCTTTGAGGATAAAAATATTTAACTCTTTTTAAGTTTTATGGGATCATCATATGTGTCAATGCTCTGATGCAATTAACTTAATAACGTTTAATTTTGTTCAATTAGGCAAGGAGCTTATAAAGTCACAGATAGATTTGACCGACAAGTCAATCTTTATATGGGATTGAACAGGTTAAACCACCCTTTGTTTTCTCCTTCACGTTAGGTCATACTAAAAGTTGAACCTAGCTAGCTGAGATCTCTCTCAATCAACATGAAAGTATCCTATCAGTCCTACCACTATATGAAGACATTATTGTGGACTCAAATACATTGGGTAAATTCTCAAGTTGAAAAGAATAATAATGATTGTCGAGTAGGGTCAAGAAAGTTGACAAAGAACTCATCTCTATCTCTCACGCATGCATCAATATACAAGTGCCTGTAGAATGGAGTAACCCAAAACATATCCACCATGTACTCTGCACATGCCAAAGGGTAATCGGCTTCGTACGTGTGATTGAATTATGCATTGCACCTGCGCACGTTCCAACAGACAGCAATCTAAACTGATCAAACACCACCGCCCATTGCCGCCACGTGGTTCATGAAAAAGAGAGTTTCTTCTCACAATTATTTAAGGCCAAATGTGACCCATAACCAGACAATCCCTCCTTGGTGTCATTCTCTTGCTCTCTCCCTTCCTTCCACTATCAATTCAAAGAATTTTTTTTAATCTCTTTTGACTTCTATCAGGCATATACCACAGAATCTACAACCACCTCCATATTGTCTATCTGCTTGGCTTCCCTGTGGCCTACCCCTCCCTCTTTTGCACACCTGTGTCTCTTTTGGAATGCTCCTAGTGTCAAGGAAAGATAACATGGAATGACTTGTTCAAGTTGTTGGCCTTAGGAACCACTACTAAACTTGTTCCACCATGGCATGGGGACATTGCATAGTTCCCCAATTATGTTAAAGCATGGCCATTTAATTCACCCTTGAATCCAAATGCAATTCACTTTTGAATATTTTAATGAGTTCCATCTCAAGTAGAGCTCTTTGATACTGCCCAGAGGGGGTTAACCATTAATGTAATCAAGGATGTATCCGTTGGGAACTTTTTTAATGTGTGGTACTATGCTATGGTAATAAAATTGATAATAGAAAATCTACATGTCATTCTCTACCAAAGGATTTTCAATAAAGATGACTGCTATTTTCTTTAACAGACCAGTTTTGATTCATTAACAAGTGTAAAATGGCAGTTTCAATCAAAGTTGGTCTTTCTTTTACTTTCGTCTCACCACTTCCCCCTCTGGTCTTCAATGATCTAGTGCCATTCTGGCAAGCATATCAGTCATATGATGTGTAGGTAAGATATCACCCATACATGATAGTGGAACTTTAAATTGATTTCAATGTTCTGTTGTACAGATTCAGTATGTTGGATCTTGTCTTCCATTACATTTTTTCCATCAACAGTACTAGCCAGCCAACCTCCGAGGAGTTGCTTTCTTTTATTTTCTCGACTTCCTTTTAATCTATGGCATCTCTCTGACAGCATAAGCCTCATGTTACATTTTAGCTGCACCTCTAATCACATGAGATATAAATTTCGTCTAATTAGTTATTTCTTGCTGAGGCTGATAGTGGCACATTTTATTAGCTGTGTTGTATGTGTCAAGCATTTATCATCTGCCAATGTTGATCTTGTTTGGGCCAATCAGAGCTACAACTTCTCCATCTTACAGAATTATCCGAAGACAGAACCATGCTGTAATCAAAAGCTTGTCTCTTAACCTTCCTTACAACTTGCAAACATTGATAAATTTTTTTTTTGGAAAGTTGAAACCACTGATATTAACATTATCATTTGACATTATCAACTGATGTACATGTTTTTATGACTGGTTTATTACCAACATTGTTTCAGCCTTTAATTCCAATAAAGTATAACAAACCCACAAGATTGCATTGCATGGAGAAACCAAAAGAACCGTCAAGGCTAAAATGAGGAATATGCTTGGTTTTAATTATAAAAGCCATATCCCAAATCACCTCACTTCCCTTTCATTCTACATGTGTAAAGCATTGCAAAATAAACAAGAATATTGGAACCCCTTTAATGCCGATTATAAGCTTCCCCCTTTTTTGTTATAGACAAAAGGTATTCCCCACGGCTTTGGATCAGAATTTATTAATGAGATTTGCTCGTTAAAGTGTGTTGCTTTCCAGGATAATATTCGCTGTTTTATTATTATATCTTTTCAGCATTGATGATTAGATAATTAATCGGCAATAAGGGTCATGTCATGTTTAACGTGACTGCTTCCTCAGCCGCGTGAAATGCAGCTATTCATATTTGTATTTTATATTGTCATGCCTGCAACTTGTACGCACAACTCTTTTTCTACCACTTACTTGATTACATACTAAACTCCAGAGCCTGTTTGTGACAGAGAACCGATGGATCTGAATTTTCATAATTCTACCATTACTTACAAACCAAAGGCAAACCCTTTGTAACTTTGTACTAACATTTTGATATTAGCCAAAGTTTTCTTGCTAAAGATAAGGACCAAGTCAATCCCAATTACTTGCAAAAATCATGCAAAATATAGGTGGAGCAGAGCTGGCCCTACTTTGTAACATGAAAGGGGTCTGACTGCTCATAATATTTTTTTAAATGTAAATTTTTATCCTTCATTATAAACAAAGCAATAAATTCGAATCTTATTATTTTTAATATAATTAACTCAAATCACCAAGCTACACTGCTATAGATTACTTAGGAATGCTACTGTTTGATTTTAAATCAAAGGTTCAAAATATAGTGCTTTGATATTTGTTGCCGCCACTGTATTTGTTCCTTTCCTGTTTTGTTTGTGTATGAATGTGCGTATCACAATGGCACTTCATGGAGATCTGGGGGGTTTGTGGCAGTGACAGAGAGCTTATCTCTCCGGTCTCTATCCCACATAATAAATAAAATAAAAAATAAATGTAAAGCTTATCCCAGCTGGTGGTAGTCCCCAATTTCTGTAGTAGTGATTAATTTTTAAGAAGATGGTCCAAAAAGAGTCAACATAAATGAATGCCTACCATCAATTTAATGGTTTTGCGCTTTAGAGCATGAGGGCCTGCTGCTGAAACATGCAGGAGATTGTATATGGAAATTGTCCCACCCACATTCCATTAGATCAACTCTATGGCCCATACTTTCAACCTTTGTTCCCAAAATATCAATCATCTCTTCCCTTGAAAAAAGTGGGGAATGTTCTATAAAAAAATTGAAACTGTGGAAACAGAAGAGAGAGAATGAAAACCAAGTTGGTGGTGGGTTGGAGCCTTTGTTTGTTTATACTTAATATGCTTTCTTGTTTTCTATTTTGTGATGCAGAACGTGGGAAGAACATGAAATTTGATAAGTGGAAACCTTGAATGAGGCTCGTCAGGAGGCTAAGGTTTTAAGACTTGAGGCTGGCCTCCCACATGATCGAGTTGTCAACTATCGAGCCGAAAGTGAGCCCAATTACCGGTACATGCTCATCGATTACTTGTTCAAAGGTTCACAGCATTAAAGTGACGTTTGTTATCAGGGATGTAAGTCACATTCCTTATAACGTGGCTTATTAAATTACATTGCAGTGTTTATTTTGTAACAAATCACTGCAATGTAAGATTGCAATGCAATCACATTGCAGCCAATGGATGTAATATGATTGCAGTCCAAAACCAATACAATCACATTATATTGCACTTTGCAATGTTCTTAAAGACAATTTTACCCTTCAACTTGATTATCTTATTAAAAATATTTTATAATATTATAATTAAAATAAATATATAATATAAGAATAAAAATTAAAATAAAATAAAATATAAAAAATTAATATTATATAATATAGATAAAACAAATTAAAATAAAATATATAATATAAAAAATATATTAAAAAATGAAAATAAAATATATGACATTAAAAATATATTAAAAATATGATATTATATAAAAATTAATAATATAAATATAAATATATTAAAAATAAAATATAAAATATTATAATAATAAATAAAAATAAAATATATGACATTAAAAATATATTTAAGAAATGATATTATATAAAAATTAATAATATAAATATAAATATATTAAAAATAAATATAAAATATTATAATAATAAATAAAATAAAATATATGATATTAAAAATATATTTAAAAAATGATATTATATAAAAATTAATAATAAAAAATATAAATATATTAAACTTATATTTTAATAATTAGGGGTAATTTTGACAATTAGCATTACATTCCCACTAAAGTACTTGTAAACCAAACACTGCAATGTTATCTTTCCTGCATTTTAATCATTATTTTACTTACATACCAAACACTGTAATGTTAATTTCCCTGTAATCACATTGCTTGCAATCACATTACTTGCAATCACATTGCATTGTAATGTACCAAACGCCACCTAAGTCTTGAATGACCTTCCTTGTCTTTTTTTTTTTCAAAAAAAAAAAAATTCATTAGTTTTTTTTAACAAGGTTTTTTTTCCAAGCCACAATATCAAGTAAATGAAAATTAAAAGGCTTTCATATAAATATGAATTTGAAGCAAGTAAATGAACAATTTTGTTCTTTCACAACACTACTCATAATGAATTAATCTTAGATATGCAAAAGTTTAGAGAATCAAAGTTTACATTTTCAACATAAATATCTTCAAAGTGTAAATTCATAGATAGACCCTTCAAATAAATACTCCATAAATTAAAAACCTTAGTACGGCAAGCCATTTCCTTGGGCTATTGGCGAGCCCATATGAGTTCTCTTTCCGTTGAAATTTCATTGCAAAACCCATGGCGTAGGGTTTTAGAAGGGTTTAAGGTTTAACTTAATTTTTCTTCTTTACATTTCAATCACTGTCTTCTATGAAACTCTCATGATTACCCGCCAACTCCGTAAAATCATCAAGCAACGGTCAACAACCTCAAGGACCTTGCACTCATCTAAAGATGTTCACCAGTTATTCGACGAAAGTCCTTACTCAAAACCAGCCTCCATATGCCCTGTTAATCACTCTCTGCCCTCTCTTTTGCACGTTGATCTCCCCTTTAACGCCTTCAGCAAGCTCAAAGGACTGCTTAAATTGGGCAACTTTAAAGCCATTGATGAAGTTACCGTGGCTCTCGCTCTTAAGGATTCTTGTGGGAATTCAAAACAGGGGACCCAGGTTCACAAATATGCAATCACCTCTGGGCTCACGTCCTTTATTACGGTTCCAAATTCATTAATGAATATGTACTCTAAATCTGGGCAGTTTGATAAGGCTTTGTGCATTTTTGAGGGCTTAAATGATCCGGATATCGTTTCATGGAATACTCTGCTTTCTGGGTTTCAAAAAAGTGACGAAGCTTTGAATTTTGTTTTAAGGATGAATTTGAATGGGGTTGTTTTTGATGCAGTAACTTGTACCACAGCTCTTTCTTTCTGTTTTGACCTTGAAGGCTTTCTTCTCGGGTTGCAGTTGCATACTCTTGTCATGAAGTCCGGATTAGATTGTGAGGCCTTTGTGGGAAATGCGCTTATAACAATGTATTCAAGGTCGAAGCGTTTAGACGAAGCTCGGAGGGTGTTTGATGAGATGCCAACCAGAGATTTGGTTTCGTGGAATTCAATGCTTTCAGGGTACAGCCAGGAGAGTAGTTTTGGCATAGAAGCGATTTCATCGTTTATTGAAATGGTGAGACAAGGGATGAAGCTTGATAATGTATCATTTACTGGCGCGGTTTCGGCTTGTGGTCATCAGAGGAACTTAGAGGTTGGTAGACAGATTCATGGTTTGTGTATAAAAAGAGGGTATGGGACTCATGTATCTGTTTGTAATATTTTGATGTCAATGTATGCAAAGTGTGAGGTTGTTGAAGATGCAACATTGGTATTTGAAAGAATGAATGAGCGTAACGTGATCTCATGGACCACAATGATTTCTATTGATGAAGAGGATGCTGTACGCCTCTTTAATGAAATGAGATTAGATTGTGTTTATCCAAATGATGTTACATTTGTTGGATTGATCCATGCCATAACCGCTAGGGGATTAGTGGAAGAAGGCCAAACGGTTCATGCGTGTTGTGTAAAGGGTAACTTTTTGTCAGAATCAAATGTTTGCAATAGCCTTATCACCATGTATGCTAAGTTTATGTTGGTACAAGACTCTATCAAGGTTTTTGAGGAACTTGAATGCAGAGAGATTGTCTCATGGAATGCTTTGATTTCTTGCTATGCCAAAAATGGAATGTGGGTGGAAGCTGTGAGGACATTTTTATCAGCAGTCACAGAATGTAAGCCAAATCAATACACATTTGGTAGTGCCTTGAATGCAATTGGTTCTGGTGAAGATATATCTCTTAAGCATGGTCAGCGGTGCCACTCTCATTTAATAAAGGTTGGATTTACTACCGATCCAATAGTGTCCAATGCTCTCCTCGATATGTATGCGAAGCGTGGGAGCATTTCCGAGTCTGAAAAAGTTTTCAGCGAGACTCCTCAAAAGAGCCAATTTGCTTGGACATCAATTATATCCGCCCATGCAAGGCATGGAGACTATGATTCAGTGATGACTTCATTCAAAGAGATGGAAAAGGAAAAAGTCAAACCTGACTCAATCACTTTTCTTTCTGTTCTAACAGCGTGTGGCAGAAATGGAATGGTTGATATGGGTCGAAAACTCTTTGACTCGATGCTGGCAGAATATCAGATTGAAGCATCCTCAGAGCATTATTCTTGTATGGTGGATATGTTGGGCCGTGCAGGTAGATTGAAGGAGGCAGAGAAGCTGATGGGTCGCAGTCCAGGAGGGCCAGGGTTGTCTATGCTGCAAAGCTTGCTGGGGGCTTGCACGATACACGGAAACGTAGAGATGGGTGAGAGGGTAGCTGATGCTTTGATGGAGATGGAGCCCAATGAGTCAGGTCCGTATGTGTTGATGTCAAACTTGTATGCTGAGAAGGGAAACTGGGAAAAGGTAGCGAAACTGAGGAAAAGGATGAGGGAGAGGGGAGTGAGGAAGGAAGTGGGGTTTAGTTGGGTGGATGTTGGTGACAGCAACAGTTCATTGTCTTTGCATGGGTTCTCATCAGGTGACAAGTCCCACCCACAGTCTGAGGAGATCTGCAAAATGGCAGAATGCCTGGGATTGGAAATGAAACTTCTGAGAGAGAAAGACAGACGGAAAGATATGGAAATTACAGTATAACACATGAGCCATTGGGAATTCCTTTGTACTCGTAGTAGTTCAAAATATTGTTTCTATTGTTTTTTTTTTCCCCTTTTTGAAGAGATCATTTGGGAGGGTTTAGATTTTAAGTAGCGTCAGAGGAGGCCCAAGCCGCCAAACTACATGCATTCCAGCTCTAGCATGAAAACAGAATACAGAAAGTGTAACAGTTCTTTACGTGGATTCTTGTGATTCGCTTCTGCTTCATTTCACTTTTTCTCTTCCACCTCTACCTTACGCCTGAATAAAAACTAAAAATGGGGAAAAATATGCTTGGCTCGGGCTTAGACATCCCAAGAGAAATTAACCCGTTGCAGAAGGCATAGTTGTGTTAATTCTAGTTGCTTTAAAGCGTCAAAAGCAAATTCGGAAAATTCTAGAAGACGTGAGCGGCAGGATTCGAACCTGCGCGGGCTAAGCCCACATGATTTCTAGTCATGCCCGATAACCACTCCGGCACGCCCACTGGATGTTAGCTAACCACAAATTTATTCTAACTACTGTATTCACGGAGAAATCGAATTCTGCAGCATCCAGCTGGACATCATGATTCAGTTCTCCAGCGTTCCTAAAATTCTAACCCCGTCAAAAAAATTGATGAAGAAAATACCAAACCTCACCAGGATTCCTTCTCTTTTGTATTGCAAATTCCAATCAAATCCCTTATTTGAGGAAGAGATAAACAAACAAACGT